TGACGCCTATATTCTAGCCGACTCTTTTGGATGTCCCCTGGGGTAATCATTCCTGGGTAGTGTTAGTAGAGTGCTACACAAGTAGTTAATTTGATGTAGCTTTTGGCATACGAGAATCATGTCTCCCGAGTTCGGTGATATTGAGATGATTAGAGTCCGAGAGTTTGCAGGCTTTCAACATGTCTTGGATTGTAAACTTTGAACATTTTGGTTGCTATTCTCTGCGGACGTGCGAGTGCTTTTTTGTCACGAATTAACCATGGATTCCAAACTCGTATAGCATACTCGGTTTGTTGTCTAATTTAAGCTGACAGCAATCCGGATAATAGGTTTGTTTTAAATGGTCCAAAAACACGTTTAACTAATCCAACTTGAGAGCACATTCCGAAGCGAACAATTGTTTTCATTGATTCATCGTCTATCATGTACAGATCAAGTAAGGAAATGGCGTATTGAACGCGGATAGATATGGAAGATCGATCGCACGGATGACGCATCGCAGTTTGATTGCAGTGTTGGGGGTGATCTGGTGGCGTGAAGCACGTCGCACCACTCACCCTTCATTCCTCTCCCTTTCAATCAATCACCACGACTTTTGAATCACTGAGTGTCTATCCCCGTTCAACATGCCATTTCCTTATCTGTCCAGGCTAAAAGATGAATCAATGAAAACAATTGTTCGCCTCGGAATGTGTGTTGTCATGTCATAATGGGCCTATTCTGGAATTTAAACCAACTTGCTTTTGGGCAATGGATGAGGCTCTAGCACAATGTGCGAAACATCCTAGATCCTCCTAACCATTGTCTGTGCTTGTTCTATTTGGCCATTCTAAATGAGGTAAATAATATAATGCTACGACAAAGACAGTAAGAAAAAATGATGCAATTTCAAAATCTGGTTTTTCTAACAACCGTTAAGTTTAAAACAGTGGTTTAGGATCTCTACGTCGATTATCTACATGTGCAGAAAGTCAACACTACTGAAATAAACTACTGTTTTCGCATGGAGGATATAATAGCTGCTTCTTAGGCCTGTTGAGATACCCTGAAAGATCAAAAAGGTATGTGAGAGGTTCGTTTATAACCCATCTAAAAAAGTACTATATTATTTGGTATCCAACTCGCCTTGCCCGCTGCCTTTCGACCAGGTTGTTGTCAGATCTAGGGGTATCGGTTGAGAATGCTACTCGTGGTTGGGTTCCCCAGATGTACCTGTTCATCAAACCCCAATACATATACATACCAAACAATTTCATACTACATCGGTCGTCGCACACGGTAGTCAAAACCGTGCTATTCATTGTACTCAGCGGATTGGATGCCTACCCAGAAGGTGACTGTGTCGTGCGCTCTTAAATCTTAACGTTCTGTTGACTTCTTCAGTTAAGCCTCGCCTATCGTTGACCAACAATCACAGTGTTCCTTGATGTAAACGAAGATTGAACTCGGTAATCGAGATGCTATCTTCGGTTCTCTTGGCGAATGAATGCCCCGGAAGTGTGCTACCTTATCGAGATCATTATGTACCCCTAATGTAGGTCAATTTAGAGTCTACCGCGGACTAAGCAGTGCTCTGTAAACTAAATGTATTCGTCAAGGGTACCCTATTTCACCATTCCTTTTTATTTCTGTTGTAAATGAAATATCGGAGAACGCACTAAATAGTCTCCATAACATTGATATTGAACTGGTAGCTGTAGTTCAGAATACTGACCTCGTCTGTCTATCCGTATATACGTAGGATGCGTGAAACACAACTGATTAACTGGTGAGTTCGGTGGTTCCATTCGGTATGCGCTTTGCATCTTCAAGATGCGAAATGATGTTGCAAGCCTGTTTATTAACCAGACCTGCCTTGAAACTAGATGATCAGGATTTGACTATAGCGGACTGCTGCTACCTAAGCATTCGTGTAACGAATAACGGTGGCACAGAAAAGGGTATGAATGCTCGCATTTCTAAGGTTCGGGCAGCTTACGCAGGATCAAAACACATGCTGCAGACGTGACTGTCCATCAATTTTGAAAGGTTACGTATATCGTACCACTGCGGTCGGATCTACTTTACGGTTGCGAGACCCTTAATTGGGGTTCAGAAGACACTTATTGACCATAATTTTTTGACCGGTGTTTACGCCATTCAGTACAGGTTGAATGGAACGGGTGTTAGTAATACTGACGTAAAGCTTCGTATTTTGGAGAATGCTGCATGACGAATTATTGTCACCGAATACGGATATCTGGGCTTCGCTAATCGGGAGGCTTATTGCGCATAGCGCATCATCTTTCATCTCACCGGGCTTTGTTTGCTGTTGCTGCCCCAGTTTGGAAGAGATCACATCGAGGTCAACACGTGGTGCGAAGACGAAGCGCACAATGTGATTTGGTAGAGTAGGTGTCTCGCCTTCCGGAGCGCGGTCCAAAGAACTCTAACTGGTTGGCTGAAGATACCGAGGGATGTGGTATCGAATTGACAGCAGGGGTGTTCTTGTCATTTCTCATCAGGTCAGAATGCTTGAAGAAGTGTATGCACAGGCTGTCCTGTGTGCTGACCCTAGAGGTTCACTTTCTTTCCCCCTTCCCTCAATACAAACCCGATCCCGATTCACCTTGCTCATTCCGATGATGTGTGTTGTAAGCTTTGTAGTATTCAGCGAAGTTCTCTTCACTGTATGGTGATTGGGAGACAATACTACATTTTATCAGGTAAAGGTTTTTCATTTCACCGTCCGATTACCTATTTCGTTGTCAGTAAAATATGGTACTTTTAATTTATTTTGTTCTAATCAGGCTTTCACCCCTGGACAGACGGGCAGCGTATCCGGGGGAAAACGCGGTCGTGGCCGAAGTGGTGTCAGTGGTGGTGGTGGTGCTCCGAGTGATCCCGGAAGTAATACCGGTGGCGGAGGTTCACGATACAAATTTTATGATGTGGATGGGTCTGGCACTGGGTTGGTGGACAAGACAGGTAGTGGTGTGGGTTATACCACTACTATGGGGCAGACAAACGGCGCAGTAAACACAGCTGTCCCCAGTGCCTCCGCTCGCCTCTACGAGGAGTTGGAACTAGAGAAACGTACGCGTAAACGCCGAATGCGGTTGTTGCTAGCTGTGGAAGATGCATTTACTCATGTGCGGCGTCTCGCATCTGAGACATGTGCAGACGGTAATGCAGGACAGGCCTCATTGCCATTGAATCCTCCAGGTGGGTTATTTAATCCGGTTCTCTCAACTCTCGTTGTTTTGGATGCGATTTGAGTCGCGTATTACATATTTATCCTTCAACTGACTTTATGTTGTCGAGAAGATACCCCCGAATTATGTTCCATCGAATTGCCGTTTAAGTAGGATAGCACAAGGTAAAGTGTTGCTCTGTTTGATAGTACGCTAGTGTCGGATGAATATGAGTTGTTTCACCGACCAGTTAGTTTGTCAGTGTTCTTCAATCTACTGTCTTAACTATGACTGCTTAAGATGTTTGGTTTTTCCACGTCTTCTAAAAATGCTGCACAAGTGGTTAACTGTATTCCTTCAATCATCTCATTTCCAATCATTCCCTGCTAGGAAACGGAATCATGTTCAAAACCAAATTCAGTCAGGAGAAATCCTTAGACCCTTATGAGGCTGCCCAAGCAGTGTTTCCCACACTGATACGACCTTTGCAGAAGTACATGCGTGTCACGCGGCAACAGGCTCGTCATCCGGTCGATATGGTTATCGACCATTTGGCCCTATGTCTCGCGTATGGACTGTCTCCTCATGCTTTTCTTGAGCGGTTCAATCCTGCCGCAGCCACTCCTCAGCTTGACGCTGCAGCTGCGGCCACAGCTATTAGGACGGCAAAACGAGATCGAAAACAACAACAACAGCAGCAGCAACAAGTTCATCCACGCTCCGGTCGACCCAGTCATTCTAATGGGTTGGACAATGGACCCTTGTTGCCCAAGCATGTATATCCTGGGGGTCAGCAGGCCTGGAGCATTGTTGCGGATCGTGCTCTATCTCGCAGTTTGGCTGATGGGGCTATTTTTCAATTGCGTCGGGGGTCAGAACTATCGCTCCTTTGTACTGTGCGGCGTCTACCCCTGATCCGTTTAATCGAGGAAGTTCTTGAACCTCTTGAGGCTGGTCGCTTCGCTTTGAACACCGATAATGCAGTTTGATTCAGCGAACAAAGACACTGTACTATCACTACCCGTGTGTGTCCATCTATCCTGTCAATATCCAGGTCTGAACCGCAGTGTTTTCCTCATTCATTCTCTCTACACGTGTTACTGTTCCTTTTCAAAGCGGAATTATTCTCAAATTAATCCACTCTTGTGTTCAGGCTGTTGAGTACTTATTTGGTTCCAGCTGTCAATCTCAAGTCGTTTCATCTCCGAGGCTTGCATATTCGACCGTCACAGGTCACTTGGATTTCAGATGAACGCCCTACTTGAAGATTGCGCGGTCTACTGTATTCACTCGATAGTGCACGCATTCTCGTCTACCTTTATGTTTTCCGCATTTTCACAGAACTTGTTCAAAATTAGGCCTTCTTGATTTTGCCATTTGCAGGCATTTTATAGAACTCAACTTCTCTACTCTGTACCTCTGTCTCTAGTTTGATGGTGAACGTGTGCCATTTTTATACAACCATATTCATCGCCAATCTGCATTGCCCACACTCCAAGTTGAGTAGACCGCATTTATCGCTCTCCATCTGTTTTTGCGCCACCCTGTCCCACTTTTATTCTTTATTCCCCTTTACAAGGCTGCTTCTCTTTCTACTTTCATCGTTTGCCTTCTTTCCCATTTTTATTCCTTTAATGCCTGCAATATCCACTGCTTTGCATTTGAAATGCCGGTTGTTTTCAACGTCTGTAGCCTTTTGTTCTGTTTTCTTTTTTTCACTGCTGGTTGTTACCATCTCTCTCTTCTAATGTTGATATCCGGCTCAATTCTGTTTCGCTCTTCCCTTGCCGAGTTACTCATCCGGTCGTTTCATATTTCTTGATCCAATTATTTGTCGCATCCGCTCGCTCTTTCCGGTTCATTTTTATTCTCAAATCACTGTACGATCCCCATCGTGTGATTGCATCAAAGTCACACAGCATCCCGGGAGTTAATAGCATCTCTTTCTCCCTTACCTCTGAGCTCAAAATTTCCAATTGTGCTTTTGATGACAGAAAAATTCGATTAATTTAACTACGTTGAGAAGAAAAAAGGAGAGGAGGGTTGGGGTGCATGTGACTAGTTTATTTGTTTTCTTTTTGTTTCCCGACCTTTGTTTTTTGCTTATCTGACTGTTTTTTCTATTGTATGGATTAGTGTACTGTCTACCCGAATTCCTATTCGTACTTTGTGACATATACACATTAAATCATATGACTTGTGCAGTTTCAAATGAAGTATTTTGTTACACGGATCGCAATAGAACGTCGGTACTTTCATGTGACGTAACATCACAAGCAGTATTTTCGTTTCATGTCGGGATTAGATATCTATGAAACCTTGGCACCTATCTCGTTGTCATAACACTCTTGAGGTGTGTAGCATGTTGTTTATTTACGATTACCAGTTAGGGTCTATTCGCCTGTGATGCTCTTGTGCACGTATGGCAGGAGTAGCAAGGGAAATTTTTAAGCAAATGTTAGATATCCTGGAGTTGTTAGACTATCTATAGTCTCCTTCCAGCGGAATTGTACGCTATCGGCACTTCTCTATGTAGCGGATAGGAGAGATTCAGCATTGATATAGGCAGACACGGTGGGTTTTCGGTTGGCGATCAACCTCAGAAACAAAGTCATGCATATTCATAGAAAATATTGCTTGTTTTAGGGAATTTGGTTCGTCGTCGAATAGGACCCCCCCTTGGTACCCTACGAACATCGCTTCGTTCTCTAAGTGCTTAAGGTTCACCCTTGGTAAAAGGTCGAGTGATGCGCTGCAATATGAAGGGCAATGAGCACAGTAGTGAGAATATCGTGTACTTTAGCCAGTCACCCTGTTGCATAAGTAGCCTCTATCCCGAGAATCACTGATCCTTTGGTATAAATGAAGTCACCTGAGTGGTTATTTAATCTAGTGCGGTAATAGAGAACGTTTGAGTAACAGTTTGTCTATCCCTCTTCTCCGTTGTGCTGCACAGGTTATTGAAGGATATAATACTTTCGTACTCAACGGGTCTGTACATCGTGAATTATTCGCGAGAGTAGACATTAAGTAGCCCATCTGGTTTAGCGGGTTTGTTGTTCAGTGTGCTTCCATGTGATTTCGGGTCAGGCTAGGCTTTTGATCGGTCACCGCTTCTTGTTCGTTATACAAGGCTAGCTTTATTCGTAATTTTCTCCATGATTGCGATAGTTGCACAGGCGATTTCTCAGCACATGAATTTTCTGGGTTAACATCGAGACAACTGTACACAATTGCCCGGCATTTGTAGACTACAATGGTGTGAAATTATTTCTGGTATCTGTTGAAATAAAAACCTGTTTGGTCAAGCCTGTTAATGTGAGCACGATTGAGTGCTGACGGCGACTTTTAGTTTGTTCGGAGAATCGTCTGAGTCTAACCCGGGGTATCCTCTAATGACCCATACACATAGGTCATTCCTAGGATCTCTAACTTTTCTGACTGATGATTATAACTAACATTGATGGGTTATGTGCTTTCGAATGGCAGAGGTGACGCTAAATTAGCTCAAGTTTAGGCAGTCTACCATATTGCTCATTCTCAAATCAGCGGTGTTCTCAATCATATTCCATTAAATCAACAGTTCTTATTGGTGGGTTTGGGGAAGATTCTTGAGGTTGTTGGATATATTAATTTTCGTTGGACTCTTCAATAGAGGTCTCATAACTGTCGTCATCACAAGGGATTCTCTTCGTCTCATCAAAATTCCTTGAGGTGAATCTCGTGTCAATAGTAGTAGTTAAAGCATTTCGTCAGTGTATATGGAATATACCAAACGGACCATACACAATGCTTATACTTAAGGGTGATCGCGAAACAGTTGTTCGATTTATGCACATGTGGATCGAGGTTGACACTTCACTTAGTCTTTGATGACCTTCGACAAATCGCTGGGTCGTCCGCGTAAAACTCGAACCCAGTTTGACCGGCCCCCAACTGTGTGCGCGCCCGACAGTCTGTGACAACTCCGTGTTTGTGTTTCAGTTTCTCGTTCGCTCCTACGCTTGTTTGCTTCGCATTCCCGATACATGCACAACCCCTGGCACATGCTTTCAATGCATACCGTACAGCTGATGGGACTATGACCGTATTCCTTGGTCTGTGCGCGTCTGTATGTGCGTATATTCATCTCGATTTGTGTGAACCAGATTGATGGGCGCCAGAATTACCGTACCCAAGAATCCGGATTTAAAACTTAAACTGGCTTGTGTAGTCCGAAGTCTCCATCAATGCACATTGGTTATAAACAAATCAGGAAAACAGATCTTACTCACCTATCTCTTTTCTGTGAATTTTGTGCACGAAAGTATAGGGTGTTTCTAGTGCTTTGTTATGAATTGAAAATTCAGTCAACAGTGGCGTGATTTGTTCTTTCTAACTGCAATATGTACAACGCAGGTAAACGCCAGTTCAAAGTGTTCGTACTGGGCTATCATGTACGATAGCCCAGCCGTAGTTAGATTAGATGTACAGCTTATTGTGAGTCGTAATTACACATTTCCTGGCCGAGAGTAATATTCAGCCAATTATGGGCAATCAATAAGTCACTCCCTCTGCACTGACCGCCGCAATCACCACTGGTTTCTTCCTCCTGAATCAGTGTTATGACGTCCGCTTCAACAACCGGCACTTTGGACATATAACCGTTTGGACAGACAGTGGGTTGAGTCACGCGGTTTGGCGTCGTGTGTTTCATGTTCAATTGGAATGCACATTATAATGCGTGCACAGCCATCCACCATACATTTGTCTCGGTAGTTATCGCGATATGCATAACTCCAGCTGCCATTATTTCTGCGCACAAGGTAACAGCCCACTGGGTCGGCGACTTATTTTCCCCATGTTGAAATGACATAAGTGGATCAAAAGTAAGGGAATGTTACTATTGCGAGTCGCTTTTTTAGAAGGCAGAGGAGATTGTGTTCGGATCTGATTTCCGGCTGGGGCCCCAAAGTTACATGTTATCGTTGGATGAACACACTGTGGTAAATGGCTTTGAACCGAAGTTAGTGATGTGATTGCGTCCTTTCTTGTCTGCCATCCCGAAAATAAATTATATTTCACACTTGTCTGAGGACAGACTGTGTGCTAGGCAAATCATGGTAGAATCATCTTTTAAAAATAGAAAAAAGTCCATGATTGGCTTGTGGGCTGAATACTGTCAGGATACCCAGGCCAAGGCAGGTGAATATTTGGAGGAATTCACAACCAAAGCCTTCGGCTAGCCAAAGCCTGACCCGTAAGGCAGCGGGGCTGTGTGAAAACCGCAGTCCATTGGGAGTCGGTATCCAGTTCATCGGATCATACACTCTTCGGACGGGGTCAAACGTCCAAGGTGCTCAATACACCTCAGTGCCCAATCGAGCCGGTGACCACTGCCACAACCGACAAGGTGTTGGTGTGATTCGTACGCCTCCTCTTGGTTGGTTTGAAATCAGGGTTTTTGGCCAACTCCCCCAGGTGAACTACCAGTGGTTCACCAACCCGGATATCGGCTTTTCGTCCTCTCACTTTGGTGGGAAAACACCACCATGAGAATGCAGTGAGTAGGGCTTCCTCAGCAGAGGCTGTTTGAGACGCTTGGTCGTATGGGAGCATTTCGCGAAGTGCAAGGGGTAACCAGCTGCGACCCTAGACACCCACCCCCGATCATACTGAGGCTTTTGAAGAACAGTTAATGTGAAGATTGGTGTTATATATGTGTGGTAGCAGACTACTGAGACTTTTTGATAGTTATGTTAATTCTTTAAAAAGGCAACTGTTTAACTGTACAAAGGTTTTACTTCACTCAGCTCAACGCCGTACTGCTCCGCTCCATCGAAATTGTATGGCTAAATCTAACAGTTTCACGCTGCTTGTTTTGACTATCAGGTGGTGGTGGTGCAGTAGTTTAGTCGCTGTCATCTGTGTGCTTTGAACCCTGTGATTCGAGGTTCGAGCCCCGCCACCCAACTTTGGTGGTAGGCAACATTGCTATCACCCGGTTCTA